CCAGCACGTTATTAATCTCACGTGCCCCACTCAATATGGCCGCCGCTTGAGTGGGGCAACTCAGAATAATAACGTGCTGGATTACAAATGTATTTACATAGTATAGTAAAACAGCAAAGCCCTAAGGGTGATTTAAAAATAAGCATTAGCTTAATATTTGAAGTAGCAGCACCTGTCCATTCCATTTCATGTAAGGACCTGATTGCAGCATAATATTAGTAAATTTCAATGGGCACATTTCTGGGAGCGAGATGGGGGGGTTAATGGCGAGCCACATAGTGCATGTATATAAGTTTAAGATAAGACAGAAGCTTGGTGCTTGTTGGGCAAACTCACCGGCCCGGGTGGCTCCGTCGGCTGGCAAGGGGATGGGGGGAGAAGTCCGGTGACGTCACCGGACTCCTCCCCCCTTCCCTTCGTTGGCCGATGGAGCCACATCGGCCGGTGGCGTCGATGTCCGTGACTTCACCGGATCTCCGACGGCACTCCCGGGAAACCGGCGGAGAGGCGAGTCTTCATTTTTGATCAAAAGAATTATAACCGATCAAAAAGTTTACCGATTAATCGAGGAATTAATCGTTAATTTCCCAGCCCTATTGAAAAGGTTAGAAAAAAACTAACAAAAACATTTTCGGTTTCTGCCTGACAATTTTGTTTTTTCGTTTTGGTTTTGAAATTTTCATTTCGGTGCACCTCTGATAATGTTTCATGACATAACATAGGAAAAACTATTTTCATAATGTTTGCTAATTTTCTCCTAATATAGTAAAAAATGAAACCCCAGTGGTGATGAAATACCACCAAAAGAAAGCTCTATCTGTCCCCAAAAAATGGTATAACATTTATTTCAGTACAGCGTTGCGTGACGGAATGTCAGTCAAAGTACCGCAGCGCTGAACACTGAAAAATGGCCTGGCCAGGAAGGGGGCGTAACACAGCGTACTGTAATTCATGGTAACGCTCTGCCATGTGTATAATATGAAGACAAACTGAAACAACCCATTCAGTTTGTAACCAATCGGGCGGGCTCGTACACTACAGGTAATAGATTATCAGATTGTGTAATGCATGGTCAGCTTAAAGAGCACCACACATGTTACCATCTGATCGTACAATTTTCTTTAGATCTACCAACAACTATGTACTGCCAGGGCCCGCCTGATTGGATACAGATTGATTGGGTAGTTCAGGTAAGTCCTCATATCACAGAGTTTTGGTAAATCTGAAGTTGATTGACAAATCAGAGTGCAGTGTGTATGGTGAACATTAAAGAGCTATTCTGGCCAAAGAATCTTCAGCATCCAAGATCCTTCCAGGTGTATTGGATGCGTATGTCCCTGCAGTGAACTGTAGTCCCACCCATTGGTCGGGGGACACATTAGTGACGTAGTGGCTGGTGTAGTTCTGCAACAGAGAAAAAAAATCGGAGGCACCGGCAGTGGAACAGGTTTTGCGTACACCAGACCGCTCTGGTCCCTGTTGGCACCGCATTTCTGTTTGGTCCTTGGTTGCTAGGACCACACTGTAATCCTGGCAACCAATGCCGTTGGGGGTCCTCCTCTGCAGTCATTGGTTGCTAAGACAGTCACTGGTCCTCCTCCTCCATCTCCTCTCTTACACCTCCCGCCTGTGGACTATAAAAACCAAAAAAGAACTTAAACGGTGTGTTCGGGTTGAGGTTTGGCATGTGCCCAGCAGTGACTAACGTATGGTACCGTCTAATGCACCTATTACTTTATTAAACCGCAGTGCACGTTATTAGAGTACCGCGTGTCTCTTCCACATATTTTGCAAACATTGCGCAACTAAACCCTCTGTTTTTAACCCTAAAAGTTAGACGGTGTTGTTTTTTTTCAGGCTGGCTGGGAAGTTTTTG